ACAAATTAGAATATAAAGTGACTTTATAATTTGGCTTTCTAGAAATACACGATTGCTTTTTTTTTTTTTTTTTTTTTTGACAGGCAGACTGGACAGTGGACAGTGAGAGAGAGACAGAGAGAAAGGTCTTCCTTTTGCCATTGGTTCACCCTCCAATGGCCGCCCCGGCCGGCGCACCGCAGCCGGCGCACCGCACTGATCCGAAGGCAGGAGCCAGGTGCTTATCCTGGTCTCCCATGGGGTGCAGGGCCCAAGCACTTGGGCCATCCTCCACTGCACTCCCAGGCCACAGCAGAGAGCTGGCCTGGAAGAGGGGCAACCGGGACAGAATCCGGCGCCCCAACCGGGACTAGAACCCGGTGTACTGGCGCCGCAAGGCAGAGGATTAGCCTATTGAGCCACGGCGCCAGCCTATGATTGCTTTTTTAAAAATGAAGTATGTTTAATGAGCTCTTAACACTAAAAAAAAAAAGGGCATACATGCAAAATGTGGAAAGTAGTCACTTGAAGATACTTCTGACCCTGGGGTAAGACGATGCAATGTTCCAGTGGTCTAAATGTGCAAGCGGAATTGTAAAACTAACAGTAATTTTCAGCCCACAGGGCATCATTCAAGCTAGGATACGGCCCTGATGTAAACAACGCAAGGCAGGAAATACAGAGGAGACCCAGTGAAAATAAACACTTACATGGCTGCCTCAACTCTGTGTAAACTATTTCAGGTTTTGTCCTTAATGTTCCAAACAATCTCAGTAATATTATAAATTAGACCCACTCTGGTATTTTTTTTTCCTAAAGCACTGTATTTTTTGCATAAATGTGAACATATATAATCTGTGGCCACAGCAAATTATTTGAGACAGAGAGAGGAGAGTCCTCGTGTCTATCAGGCATAAGTCCTGAGAAATTCTATAGCAAATGACATTCCTAAGAAAAAGGAAGATTCCTCACATGCAGAGTTTCTTAATTTTCAAACTACTATAATTAAAAAAAGGCAATGTGGGAACCACACATCTTATAAACTTCCATGTGACAACTCAGGGAAAGATGATAACTGCATTTCATGTCTTACTTAGAAGTTCTGAATCTAAATTCATGATTTTGAATTCAAGGAAATACTAAGAAATTTTAACACTATTTCCAGTACTGTATTTGACCAACTTAAGTTTCTAAGCTCTATCTACTCTGCCCATCCATGGATTGTGGATAATGCTGTAAGCGTCTGTATGGAAAGCTAACGGCATTTCATTTAACAAACTGGGTGCTTTAACACAAACTGATGTATTTCCACACATATTTATAAGGCTCACTGCTGATTATTAGGCTGTAATTGCAGTTGTTCTAACACCTAATAAGCCATGGTAGGAAAAACAAAGGCAGGTTAATTTGTGATTTCCTCTACTCATTCAGAGGCAAATTAAGTGTCAAACAGCTAATACAGAACATATTTCATTTTATGAGATTTTAATTTAATTCTGCACCATATCATTGATGCCTTAATATACAGTGGTTTATCTAAAAAGAGGAGCAATTTATAAACCTCTTTCAATAGAATCTTTAATGATAGGATATGATAACAAAATTATCACAGTGCCTGCCATCCTACTCAACAGATCTGTCTGCGTTTCCATCAACACAAATCCTTGTTTTTGAGAGACTTATAATTTAATTTTGAAAGTTGGCAGCAGCAGAACAACTGTATATACAAAATAATGAGAATACCCTCAAATTTTGTCTTCTTACAATTAAAAATATGTATTCTAACAACCTGGAAACTTCACTTGATCTTATTTTCTAGCAGACAATAATTTGGCAAGCACTTTAGAATTCCGGTTCTAGATGAAATCGTTCAGTTTTTCAGACTACTGCTTCATACCTCAGCAAAGACAGGCTTTGAAGATTTCAGTAAACAGAGCTGTAGTCACCAAGGTTACCCTCCACTTCCAAGACAATGGCAGGCATGAATTCACCACACCTCACAGGGTGGCAGGGGATCCCAAGGACTCCACATGGAACCAAGCCAGAAAAGAAACTCCCGGTGATTTGCATGCCTGCAGTTGCATCAAATGCTAACACTCACAGCATCTGTGTAGCGCCCTGTGCTTTTCAGAGCGCTTTCATGAACAATATTTCATTGACCTCTTCCTGCCTTGAGAAGAACTGAATGAGGCAGAGAGCTTCATTTCTGTGTAATGTAACCAGAGTTTACAGCAAACATGAGTGGCAGTGCAAGAAAAGGAATTCAAGTTCAGAGGGCTCATCCACTGTGTCCCAGACTGGATCAACATGAGTGCCCACTGAGCACCTTTTACAAAGTGTCTGTCCAAGTGATGGGTGCTAACAGAGCACAGCAACTAAGCAAAATGAAAAGCACTACAATAAAGGTGTGTGCAAGGTACCATAAGACGAGCAACTGGGACAGCCAAGCAGGTTCCATTTAGGCCTTGAGGATGAAAAGAAGGAGGAGCTGGCATGCAGAGAGGAAAGGGCACTGAGGACAATGCCAAGGGAAAGGAATGTTATAAAAGCACAGAGGTGTGACTTGCCCAGCTTCTAAGAGCCAATTTCCTACATGCAGTGTCGACCTAGGGGCCAGCTAGGATGCATCAAAGTTGAGCAGTCCCTGGAGGCCATGACTACCAACTCACCATACTCTGTGCCTACAGCAGTGAGACTTCTCAGAAACCTCCAGGGCTTCTCCTTGGTGGCTCAGCATTATCTACCAACCTTGTATCACATACCTTTGACAACCATAGTACAGACTGCCACTGACTCACAATGGCTCAGCTCACCATGGTTCAACTAATGATTCTTTGGCTTCACCTTCAAAGTGTAGCCGGTATGACCATGGTGCTTTTCACTTCAGTGTTGTATTCAATAAATTACATGAGATATTCAGCACTTTAGGTAAAATAAACTTTGTGTTAAGATGATTCTGCCCAACCACAGGCTATCTAATCTAAGTGTTGCAAGCTTGTCTAAGGTAGGCTAGGAGGCTAAGCTGTGATGTTTCAGGGATCAAGTGCAATAAAAGCATTTTTGACTTACTAGTATTTTCAATTTCTGAGAGGGTCACTGGGATATAACCCCCACTGCACCTTAAGAAGCAACCAGACATTTAGGCTGCTAGAGTACAATTTAGTCAATTACTACTAAAGCATCCTAAAGTCTGGCTAAAAGACAGGAAGTACTAAAATCCATAGAATCCCGGATCCACGGTCACACCCAAAATATAACCTCCTCCTGCCCCCAGGATGTTCCAGCGCTGACCTTCCTTGTCTTGTGGTGGTATCACAAGCCCCGGCAGGTACAGTACACAGGGCCTAGGCACACAGCAGGGGCCCTGTGCAAGTTCCCTGTTGTTATATTCTGCCAAAGACTTGAGATTTTTAGTGATAAATGCATACCTGGATTTAATTACAAGGCAAACTATAATGAATCCAGAGGAAACAGTTCAGTCCATCATACAAAGTCGTTTTTAAAATTGTCTCGAGAATGTGACTTTTGAAACAGTAAAGAAGTCCAAAATTCCATAGAAAATCTGACTTAAATTACGACATCACAGAGATGCAAGTCTGGGAGGTATTAGCCATCCAGGACTCCAAGGCCTATCCAGCCCTCACACGCTCTGTACCACGGGGCAGATCCGCATCTGAGATCCGTGTGGTCCCATCTGTACCATAAAACCTCTGTATAATGGGGTGAAATTGCGTGTCATGTTCCAGACTGAATTTGGAATTTCCTTCACTTTGTAAAGGGGGTTTTCAACTGGCCTCTTCATTTTATTTGAGTATATTTTTAGCAGGCTTCAAAATCCTGTAAATACTTACTTGTGTTCCAGTGAAAAGTCAAGAATCAGTCACAAGTTTCTACATTCTCTCTATAAATACCCACTTCTCCTTTAATGCTTACAGAAGTCTGCAACACAGATTTATTACTTCCCTTCAGGCAAATCTGCTCTGAAATTACTATTCAGTAATGGGAGATGGATCCAAAAAACTGTTGGTAAAATATTATATGTGTACTTGGGCATGTAGTTAGGATTGTTAATATCAATTAATTCTGTTCACAGAGGAGGACTTGTTTTAAAACAACTTCATTTTTCTTTGGCATAATATGTAATTACACAGCCATAACTAATAGCCAGGGAGATGCAATCTACCATCTAAATAACCAGCATTATTCTTCAAAGTACTATTTGTGCTTTTCTAACTTTACTGTCTTGGAATGAAGGGTGATTATTACATATGACTAAATGTATATATCAAGGCTGTGAGCAAGGGACAGCCCCTCCCACAGAGTGGCTCCACATATTATACTCTATGGCAGTTTTCTGGACTGTACTACAAAAGAATACGGACTGTTTTAGTTTGCAAGACCACTAGTCTTTGTTTCCCCAAACCAAGAAAGATGGTATTTATTTCCATGAGATTTTCTTTTTCCCTTTTCTAATGCATGTTATCACCACCATTCTTTCCTTTTATCTTTGTGTAAACCATGTGCTCCATCACATTTGCCATTTTGTTTGGGTGACATTCCCATCAATCAAGTGACTGTTGGTGTACGTACCACGGGGACTATGAAAATATACCATAAAAATTTCATTACAATTCACTGTGATCCCCAGGACAGAACTTTCATGTAACAGAAATTTTAGCAAGAAAACTTCAGACCTAATCTCAACCAAATACATAGTATGAGCAGTAACCTTCCATTAGGCTTTTACTTTTTAATTTTGTGTTTATAGCCCACAGAACACACGTCAGCAAAATATATGGGAAATACCTGCCAGCTCCCTAGTGTGACAGGCGTTCCTCAGGAGGTAGCAGGGATTTGCTCCGGTGGATCCAGGAACAGATAGGCTCGCAGTATTTCAAAAGGCAATCTTACACTTCTATCACATCCTCAAAGCGCAGCCGATGTGCCATTAACAAACAGTCCTGAGACAGTAAGAGCCGTCATCTTGTTCCATTTCAAATAGGCAAAGTTTTAATACTTACACGTGCAATGGAGGAATAGGAGACGGATCATAATGGTAACGGCCCTCATGATGTCTTGCATCGATTGGAACAGGAGGATGGAAGGCAGGAAAAAGATGAGGAGGATCTGCAAAAGAACCAAGTCCCAATCCATGTGAAACGTGCACTTGGATGCAGCCTTCCCTGTCCTATCGTCACTGACTCTATAGGGCAGTTTACATGGAATGTTAGCAAGGAGCCTACGTGAGGCAGTGCAGAAGCATGAATGCATAAATAATACCCACCTGCACCTGAGGAAGCAGCACCCATGAGGGCGGCAACATCCTAGACAGGAAAGCGAGAGAGAGGGAATGGCACAGGCTGGAAGGAAGGCAGCCACAAAACCAAGAGGGACAGATGACAACACGTTTACTTGACAAGACAGTTATATTGGCAAGTAAGTTTTAGGCACAGACATGGCAATAAAATATTAGCTTCATTTTTCCCATGACAATAAAATATTAGTTTCACTTTTCCCATCCCATGATGCCTTTAAGGATATCCTTTCCAAAGCACCTGCTAGAATTCAAGGCTAATACACACACACACACACACACACACACAAGTGTATCAAAAAAAACATATGTCATGAAAAACTGATGCATGGGTTGGGTTTCAAAATTTTTCTCAAAATAAGTAGTTTTTTCCAAAAAAAAACCCTTTTAATTAAATAATTTTTTAAGTTTAAAAATAAACTTTTAAATAAATATTTAATTTTTCACAAATGTTTTGAAGTACCCTTATATATGTATGTATGGAGGTACATAAATACACACATTTTAATTTTTAAATTATTATTTATTTGGTAGGCAGAGAGACAGAGAGAGAGAAAGTGACAGAGACAAAGTTTCCATTCCTTGGTTCATTCCCCAAATGCTTGCAACAGTCAGAGCTGGATGGGAACCAGAGCCAGGAACCTGAATGCATTCCAGGTCTTGCACATGGGAGGCAAGAGCTCAGTTATTGGAGTCATCACTACTGCTTCCCAGGGTCTGCATTACTGGGAAACAGAGCCAGGAGCCAGAGCAAGAAATCGAAACTACGCACTCCAACGAGAGATTCTGGTGTCTTAACCACTAGGCTAATTTCTTGCTCCTTTTTGAGAATTTACAGCTATGTTCCCTTCATTCTCAGCCTGGGTTACACAACACTAGGGCAGTAAATCTCTATACTGGGCAGAGAAAGAATGCACTTCTGGCTGGAAGAGACGAGTTGACCCCCTCAGCTTCACAGTGAGAGATGTGGAGCCAAACTCCCTGGATTCCTGCTGGTACAACCCTCACATTCACCTTGGACCCACACCACTGAGACTCTTGCACCTACCCCGGCATATTACTCAGTGGTTCCTGTGCCTGTGTGAACCTGCTTAACCAAACTCCTCTAGCTCCATTTACTCCTAGTAACTTACACTTGCTACCTGAAAATAAGCTTTTAATTTGGCTAGTGCTTCCCCATTAAAAGTAAAGTGAATTTTAATCTATTTCCTGATTAGAGGTATGATTGATAGCCTGTGGCTATACTCAACTTTTTCCCAATTTCACAAAGTAAACCAAAGGATTCTAAAGCCTGGAGGTTTGACCCCATGGCCATGAGACTGAAATGAGAGCAAATAAGCAGAACTCATTCTTCAGGTGCACACATCCACAGGGGTCACCATGTGAGCCTGTCTGAAAACAGACACCCAACATACCCCAGAAAGACTTCGAGGGACTTCTGAAAGTCTGCAGGTTCTGAGGCACCCCTAGAAGGTGGCTGCTTGGGTGTGGAAGGCTGTGCCAGACACACAGACACTAGCATGTGAACTGTACTCTCCCATGTAGCAACAAGGTACCTGCACAGTGAACGTCCTCTGGTGGAAGAGAATGACTGTGAGGTGTGTGCATGCTGGATTCGAGTGGCTGCTTCTTTCCTATACATTTTTCTATTTTCCAAACTTTCTGCAACATGCAGCCTTTAGAATGTAAGTAGAAAAAAACATTTTTTAAAAGTCAGAATACAGGATTTCCCTTGTTTTGAGCTTTGTTCTCACTGCTGTTCTTTCAGAATCCAAGACTATGGTGGTGGAGGAAAAACTAAAGAAAGAGTGAATTAGAATGGCTTTGATAGAAGCTGCCTCAATACCAGGGAGGGACCCAAAGCTGTAATCCTACCTCTTTACCACAAGATCTAGAATTCCAAAAGGATGATTGTGCTGAAAAATGCCCATTACTCACTGCATTTTGTGCCTGTTTTAAGATTCAGTAGAGGCCGGCACCACGGCTCAATAGGCTAATCCTCCGCCTTGCGGCGCCAGCACACCGGGTTCTAGTCCGGTCAGGGCGCCGGATTCTGTCCCGGTTGCCCCTCTTCCAGGCCAGCTCTCTGCTGTGGCCAGGGAGTGCAGTGGAGGATGGCCCAAGTGCTTGGGTCCTGCACCCCATGGGAGACCAGGAGAAGCACCTGGCTCCTGCCTTTGGATCAGCGCGGTGCGCCGGCCGCAGCGCGCTGGCCGCGGCGGCCATTGGAGGGTGAACCAACGGCAAAAGGAAGACCTTTCTCTCTGTCTCTCTCTCTCACTGTCCACTCTGCCTGTCAAAAGAAGAAAAAAAAAAAAAAAGATTCAGCAGAGAGGGATCGGGTGGGAAAGAAAGCAGGAGGGAACGCTTCTATCTATACTATCTCTGTCACTGTGATATCACCAGGTACAGCAGTGCTGGAAATTCAACAGGTGAGCAACATACTAACCACCTCAGCATTTTTCACACTTGATACATTGTATAACATCCATATGAAAATAAAGCAACTATATAAACTTGGTACTTATGACCTAATCTTAAAGGCTTCAAGAATTGTTCTTTCATAATGCAAAATATTGACAGCTGATTTGTTGAGTTTGAAAGTTTAAGCTGAAAGGTTTTCCAGCAACGGTGGCCAGTTCAATGCTGCACATAACTAGGAACAAAGTATTCTATTTTATTTAACCATTGTGGATGAAAATTTTCCTTTCTTAGAACAAAATATTGAGGGGAGTCATCTTTGTCAATAGTTTGAAAGTCAGACACATATTCTGTGACTACTTCCTGATTTCAAATTTTTTTTAAAGATTCTATTTATTTATTTGAGAGGTAGAGTTACAGACAGTGAGAGGAAGAGACAGAGAGAAAGGTCTTCCTTCCGTTGGTTCACTCCCCAAATGTGCGCAATGGCCGGAGCTGCACCGATCCAGAGCCAGGAGCCAGGAGCCAAGAGCCAGGAGCTTCTTCCTGCTCTCCCCGACGGGTGCAGGGGCCCAAGGACTTGGGCCATCTTCTACTGCTTTCCCAGGCCACAGCAGAAAGCTGGATTGGAAGAGGAGCAGCTGGGATGAGAACTGGTGCCTATATGGGATGCTGGTGCCATAAGCAGAGGATTAATCTACTGTACTGTGATGCCAGCCTCTCAAATTTTGAAACCAGCACAAATCAATGAGATTCAAATCCTGAGTAAGGTGGTGGCTACCAGCTATGGGATGGGGGTGCTCATCTTTCTCCTTTTCTCCTTTGAGTTACAGCTGCTAACACAAACATATCTGCCTCCTGTGGTCTTCTCACTTAACACACATCATCCGCTCTTGGAAATCAGAGACATAAACTTACTAGAACTGTGTGTAAATTAGCCATTCATAATGTCTGACCTACTTCCCGAGGCCTCTCACATACACCATTTTATATGGCTGTTTCGAGGGACACTGTGACAACTATGGCAGAGTCAGAAGCTACACAGATTTACTTCTTTACTTTTTGGCTCTTGGCTGTGTTCTGTGTGATTAAATTCTCTCCAGCAGATAAGTGGGTGTTAACTGTGTCTGGTTTTCTCTATGTGGGTACAATGATGAATTGTGATGAAGTACAAACTCCCATTTTTACTGAGGGCTAAGATGTGTGAAGTTGTTCCACACGTTCTACATTCCTTACACATCCAGGAGATAACAGCCATCATCTTTTATATGAGTATTGTTAACGAAGTTGCAGTGATTATGTGCACAGAAGGGAAAAGCGACCAGTTAATGCCATAAAATCACAAGAGTGTACCAAACATACAAAACCTTCCCCAAGGATGACCCACAGTGCTGTCACTGATACTGAGAACACATCACCATCTTTTCATGATTCTTACAGGATTTAAATTCACTCTGTCACTTTCTCCGTCGAAAATGAACGAGGAAGGAAAATATACAGAATATTACTAAGTCACTTAATGTTCATTTCTCCACTGCTGAGTTCAGTCTGCTTGGTGAGTGTGAAAGTTAATTCTAACCAAAAGCATGTTATGCATTTTGTAACACTGCTTGCACAAAGTGTTTATTTATGTCCCAAGGAAATTTATGAATTCTGCATTCTGGAATTAGGTTTAAATAAAGAACAGAAAATTAATGGGTATGATCTGATCTGACCAAAGACATCTGGTTTTAGTTTCAGCATTTCACTGTTTCTATGCTTCCCTCTTGATTAAATTTAAAATAACTTTTCCTGGATTGCTGAAGTCGATGCGAACACTGCACCTTGTGTTGGTTACTAGTGGAAATCACACCTCGTAAGCCACTTTCTGGGAAAGTGCAATGGAACTCCCCTCTTCCAATACGAGATGTGCTTGACAGTGGTTTAACGTGATAAACAAAGCATCCAAAGCAAGGCGAGAATGTCCTCTGACACACAGGGCATCACAGGACGTCGACCCTAACATTTCTGGAAAAATACTCCTGAATCCTCAACGCCGGCTCTCGCCTCGCATCTCGTTTTGCCATTTCTACGGGGATCAGCAGCCTATTCCATCACGGGTCTGGAAAGCTGTCCAAGAAAACCCACATGACAAGAAGAGGCCCCTGTCGCCAGCAGCCACCGTAATTATCCACCTCACGGTTTATTATTTACACATGAGCAGCACAGCTGTGGCGCATCATAACTCAAGTGTATGTGTAATAAGTTACCACACCGCAGCCATCTCCTGCCCTGGCCCTTGACAAAACACCACATGATGACTTCTCCAAAGTCAGGCGAAAACTGCTGAAGCAGAAGGAAGTGCCACGAAACCTGGCTACCTCCTATTTATCATACAATTTCCTGACTGATG